CGCTCTTCCCACGCTTTAGGCTTCAGCCCACAGATCTCTTACCCAGAGGCCTTTCCTGACCATTCTGTCTAAGAGAGGCCCTGCCCCCAGCCGACACCTCACCCTGATGTTGCCTCTATAGCACTGACCGCAGCCTAAACCTTTATCTTACTTGAGGGCAGAGGCCCGTCCCCTGGCTCACTGCTGTCCCACCGTGTGCCATCCAGAGGGACACTGTTGCGTGGGGCACCACTTCCAGGAGACAGACACGGCCGACGTCCTTTTCTAACCACAGCCTAACACGGCACACGACAGACACAAGCCTTCAGGACACAGAGGTTAAAAACGTTTCCGTTCATTCAGTCATCCCTCACTTCTCTAATACAGCTCCCTAGGAGAAACGGGACCCGTTTATCTGTTTCTATGTCCTGAAACGGTACCTGACAAGAGTATGCTTCTAATACAAGCTGCCGAAAGACTTGGCTACACAAACGCACCAGGAGAGGTTCACGCAAAGTTGCTCAGGTTTCACACAGGAGGTTAGAAGGCCAGGTTTGATGAGAAAGACTGTTGGGTATACGATCCACGTGGAGGTAATTGGTTTTTAAATCTCTCTTTTTACACTCCACCTTCCTTCCAAAAAGACACAAGGCAGTAAGACACCGACAGACAAGCCAGGACGAGACGTCAAGCAGAAGAGTGGGACCCTGGCAGAGGGAAAGTCACAACCAAGTTCTGCACAACCACTAAGCCCAAGCTACAAATTCTGCTGAGTGTTCCAGGGGCCTATAGGGAGATTACTGTTATAAAAACACCAAATTGTTGGTGGAATTAGGGGGTATTCAGCGTGGAAAGTAGAAGCCAAAGGGGAAGCGCGAGTGTCTTTTAATAGCCATGGACCGCCACGCAGAAAAAGAATAAACTTGCACTGTGCTGCTGCAAAGCCCGGGACACAGCACAACGGACGCTGAGAGGACCGGAGGCTGGCACCCCCAGCACCACCAGCTGGCCCTCACTGACGGCCGCCCACCTCCTACCCACTCTTCACCACCACGCCACCCAGGCCCCCGCATGCCCCTGGCCCACATGCCGTCCTGCCCCTCCGCCTCTCCCTGGGGCGGGCTGGGACTGGACTGACCCTGCTCGCCGCTGTTCGTCCAGGGAGCAGGTCAAGGGAGGGGCCCTCTCCCAGCCAGGAGCCCTGACCCCTTCCAGACCTGCCTCCTCCCTTAGGACGCCTCCCGGCCCCAGGCTGGGCTACAGCCCATGTGAACTCTTCCCGTGCCCCCCACTCGGCTCCACAGCAGGTGACACAACTGGTAGCACCTCCCCTGCCGAGGTCACTCCGTTTTCACAATGGCGCGGCACGTGGAGGGAGTGAGGGGTGAGCTCCCACCCGACCCTGAGCCTGACCCCTGACCTCCTACCCGGGCTGTGGAGGAGGGGGCCCGCAGGGAGCAGACTGCAGCAGCCATATGTGGCGGGCAGGCTGGGGACCTGCCTGCAGCCGCGTCACCACGAGCCTCGACACCAGCGATGCTCACCTTTTCCTTGGCTGTGTTCCAATTTGCTTGACAGACTTCTCCTCGGTGTAGAAAAGCAGACTTCTCTGTAAAGTCGAGACCAGCAGCACCTTCTGGCTGTAGTCCAGTTGCACAATGGAAGCCAGCTCCTCCAGTACCAGGTGGGAGTGACAGATGCCCTGCGGAGAGACGCCAGGTGAGGCTCACAGGTGAGGCACGCAGCGCAGCAGGCTACAGTGACCCCACGTCAGTCTGAGAGGACTGGCCTGCGTCCCTCCTGTGCCTGCCATTGACTTCGGTCAATGTCTACCTTAAAACGAATGCTTTAATTCTCACCGGATTCAATGTCAACCCACTGCAATGAAATTATTTGCAAAAGTCCTCACTAATGAGAAAATAGTCAGGGTTACCATCTATGTCAGGCTACATCAAGTTGGCCAAGAAACATTTACAAATTCTGTATAATTTTTTTTAAATGTTCTCAGTACATGGTTCAAAGAAGAATCCATAAAGATTAAGCAGAAATATGTTGCACCATGTGTATTATTAATTCCAACAGAACACAGTGGGGCTTTCTATAATATTTCTGTGACAACGGTCAAAGTCCATATCGCACCCCTCCTCCACAAAGGGTTCAAAGCAATCGTGGGGACATTATATCCTTGCCTACTGAAAGGCTCAGAAGAAACAAGTTAGAAAGAAATTAAAATGGTATTAAGTATATTGAAGAACAAAGTAAAGTTCTAGAAGGCATTTTACTGCTAACACAAACTATATTTCTTGGTGTCAAATATCTGCTCCTATAAGCCACTCTTCTCCTGAACCCGTTTCTTTAATTGTTTAGAAATACTGATGCAATGTCATAGACCTTTGCAGGGAA